TTCGCACTTATAGTGCAAGTAGGGCCAAGGAGAACGGAAACGCTCATTTCTCAAAAAGTAAAGGGAATCTAGAAGTCTCACTCGATCAGAAGGTGGGAAATATATAAATCTAGTGAGCTAATAAGGTTCGAAAGGAATCTAATGCATATGTATATGGAAAATGGTGCATTGGCCAGGTCGGTCAGTATGGGAACTTAGAGTGCAAATGTCAGGGAGAACGGAAGCGCTCAGATCTCGCATAGTACACGGAATCTAGTGGTCTCACTCAAATAGAATGTAGGAAATAAATTCATCTAGTGAACGTAAGGGTTTGAAAGGTAACTAACGCACATGTGTAGAGAAAATGGAGCCTCGGCCAGTCTGGCCAGCATTTCGCACTTATAGTGCAAGAAGGGCCAAGGAGAATGGAAACGCTCATTTCTCAAAAAGTAAAGGGAATCTAGCACTCTCACTCGATCAGAAGGTGGGAAATATATAAATCTAGTGAGCTTATAAGGTTCGAAAGGAATCTAATGCATATGTATATGGAAAATGGTGCATTGGCCAGGTCGGTCAGTATGGGAACTTAGAGTGCAAATGCCTGGGAGAACGGAACCGCTCAGATCTCGCATAATACACGGAATCTAGTGGTCTCACTCAAAAATAAGGTAGGAAATATATTTATCTAGTCAACGTAAGGGTTTGAAAGGTAACTAACGCACATGTGTAGAGAAAATGGTGCATCGGCCAGTCTGGCCGGCATTTCGCACTTATAGTGCAAGTAGGGCCAAGGAGAACGGAAACGCTTATTTCTCAAACAGTAAAGGGAATCTAGCGGTCTCACTCGATCAGAAGGTGGGAAATATATAAATCTAGTGAGCTAATAAGGTTCGAAAGGAATCTAATGCATATGTATATGGAAAATGGTGCATTGGCCAGGTCGGTCAGTATGGGAACTTAGAGTGCAAATGCCAGGGAGAACGGAAGCGCTCAGATCTCGCATAGTACACGGAATCTAGTGGTCTCACTCAAATAGAAGGTAGGAAATAAATTCATCTAGTGAACGTAAAGGTTTGAAAGGTAACTAGCCTACATGTGTAAAGAAAATGGTGCATCGGCCAGTCTGACCGGCATTTCGCACTTATAGTGCAAGTAGGGCCAAGGAGAACGGAAACGCTCATTTCTCAAAAAGTAAAGGGAATCTAGCGGTCTCACTCGATCAGAAGGTGGGAAATATATAAATCTAGTCAGCTAATAAGGTTCGGAAGGAATCTTATGCATATGTATATGGAAAGTGGTGCATTGGCCACGTCGGTCAGTATGGGAACTTAGAGTGCAAATGCCTGGGAGAACGGAACCGCTCAGATCTCGCATAATGCACGGAATCTAGTGGTCTCACTCAAATATAAGGTAGGAAATATATTCATCTAGTGAACGTAAGGGTTTGAAAGGTAACTAACGCACATGTGTAGAGAAAATGGTGCATCGGCCCGTCTGGCCGGCATTTCGCACTCATAGTGCTGGTGGGGCCAGAGAGAACGGAAACGCTCGTTTCTCAAAAAGTAGAGGGAATCTAATGGTCTCACTCGATCAGAAGGTGGGAAATATATAAATCTAGTCAGCTAAAAAGGTTTGAAATGTATTCAACGCACATGTATAGAGAAAATGGTGCATTGGCCAGGTCGGTCAGTATCGGAACTTAAAATGCAAATGCCAGGGAGAACGGAAGCGCTCACATCTCGCATAGTACACGGAATCAAGTGGTCTCACTCAAATAGAAAGTTGGAAATATATTCATCTAGTGAACGTAAGGGTTTGAAAGGTAACTAACGCACATGTGTAGAGGAATCGTGCATCGGCCAGTCTGGCCGGCATTTCGCACTTATAGTGCAACTAGGGCCAAGGAGAACGGAAACGCTCATTTCTCAAAAAGTAGAGGGAATCTAGCGGTCTCACTCAATCCGAAGGTGGGAAATATATAAATCTAGTGAGCTAATAAGGTTCGAAAGGAATCTAATGCATATTTATATGGAAAATGGTGCATTGGCCAGGTCGGTCAGTATGGGAACTTGGAGTGCAAATGCAAGGGAGAACGGAAGCGCTCAGATCTCGCATAGTACACGGAAGCTAGTGGTCTCACTCAAATAGAAGGTAGGAAATAAATTCATCTAGTGAACGTAAGGGTTTGAAAGGTAACTAACGCACATGTGTAGAGAAAATGGTGCATCGGCCAGTCTGGCCGGCATTTCGCACTTATAGTGCAACTAGGGCCAAGGAGAACGGAAACGCTCATTTCTCAAAAAGTAAAGGGAATCTAGTGGTCTCACTCGATCAGAAGGTGGGAAATATATAAATCTAGTGAGCTAATAAGGTTCGAAAGGAATCTAATGCATATGTATATGGAAAATGGTGCATTGGCCAGGTCGGTCAGTATGGGAACTTAAAGTGCAAATGCAAGGGAGAACGGAAGCGCTCAGATCTCGCATAGTACACGGAATCTAGTGGTCTCACTCAAATAGAAGGTAGGAAATAAATTCATCTAGTGAACGTAAGGGTTTGAAAGGTAACTAACGCACATGTGTAGAGAAAATGGTGTATCGGCCAGTCTGGCCGGCATTTCGCACTCCTAGTGCAAGTAGGGCCAAGGAGAACGGAAACGCTCATTTCTCAAAAAGTAAAGGGAATCTAACGGTCTCACGTTATCAGAAGGTGGGAAATATATAAATCTAGTGAGCTAATAAGGTTCGGAAGCAATCTAATGCATATGTATGTGGAAAGTGGTGCATTGGCCAGTTCGGTCAGTATGGGAACTTAGAGTGCAAATGCCTGGGAGAACGGAACCGCTCAGATCTCGCATAATACACGGAATCTAGTGGTCTCACTCAAATATAAGGTAGGAAATATATTCATCTAGTGAACGTAAGGGTTTGAAAGGTAACTAACGCACATGTGTAGAGAAAATGGTGCATCGGCCAGTCTGGCCGGCATTTCGCACTCATAGTGCAAGTGGGGCCAGGGAGAACGGAAACGCTCGTTTCTCAAAAAGTAGAGGGAAATGTATTCAACGCACATGTATAGATAAAATGGTGCATTGGTCAGGTCGGTCAGTGTCGGAACTTAAAATGCAAATGCCAGGGAGAACGGAAGCGCTCAGATCTCGCATAGTACACGGAATCAAGTGGTCTCACTCAAATAGAATGTAGGAAATAAATTCATCTAGCGAACATAAGGGTTTGAAAGGTAACTAACGCACATGTGTAGAGAAAATGGTGCATCGGCCAGTCTGGCCGGCATTTCGCACTTATAGTGCAAGTAGGGCCAAGGAGAACGGAAACACTCATTTCTCAAAACGTAAAGGGAATCTAGCGGTCTCACTCGATCAGAAGGAAGGAGATATATAAATCTAGTGAGCTAATAAGGTTCAGAAGGAATCTAATGCATATGTATATGGAAAGTGGTGCCTAGCCAGGTCGGTCAGTATGGGAACTTAGAGTGCAAATGCTTGGGTGAACGGAACCGCTCAAATCTCGCATAATACACGGAATCTAGTGGTCTCTCTCAAATATAAGGTAGGACATATATTCATCTAGTGAACGTAAGGGTTTGAAAGGTAAATAACGCACATGTGTAGAAAAATTGTGCATCGGCCAGTCTGGCCGGGATTTCGCACTCATAGAACAGGTGGGGCCAGGGAGAACAGAAACGCTCGTTTTTGAAAAAGTAGAGGGAATCTAACGGTCTGACTTGATCAAAAGGTGGGAAATATATAAATATAGTCAGCTAAAAAGGTTTGAAATGTATTCAACGCACATCTATAGAGAAAATGGTGCATTGGCCAGGTCGGTCAGTATCGGAACTTAAAATGCAAATGCCAGGGAGAACGGAAGCGCTCAGATCTCGCATAGTACACGGAATCAAGTGGTCTCACTCAAATAGAAAGTAGGAAATATATTCATCTAGTGAACGAAAAGGTTTGAAAGGTAACTAACGCACATGTGGAGAGAAAATTGTGCATCGGCCAGTCTGGCCGGCATTTCGCACTTATAGTGCAAGTAGGGCCAAGGAGAACGGAAACGCTCATTTCTCAAAAAGTAGAGGGAATCTAGCGGTCTCACTCGATCAGAAGGTGGAAAATATATTTATCTAGTGAGCTAATAAGGTTCGAAAGGAATCTAATGCATATGTATATGGAAAATGGTGCATAGGCCAGGTTGGTCAGTTTGGGAACTTAGAGTGCAAATGCCAGGGAGAACGGAAGCGCTCAGATCTCGCATAGTACACGAAATCTAGTGGTCTCACTCAAATAGAAGGTAGGAAATAAATTCATCTAGTGAATGTAAGGGTTTGAAAGGTAACTAACGCACATGTGGAGAGAAAATGGTGCATCGGCCAGTCTAGCCGGCATTTCGCACTTGTAGTGCAAGTAGGGCCAAGGAGAACGGAAACGCTCATTTCTCGAAAAGAAGAGGGAATCTAGCGGTCTCACTCGATCAGAAGGTGGGAAATATATAAATCTAGTCAGCTAATAAGGTTCGAAAGGAATCTAATGCATATGTATATGGAAAATGGTGCATTGGCCAGGTCGGTCAGTATGGGAACTTAGAGTGCAAATGCCAGGGAGAACGGAAGCGCTCAGATCTCGCATAGTACACGGAATCTAGTGGTCTCACTCAAAGAGAAGGTAGGAAATAAATTCAGGAATGAAATGACTAAGTCAGAGTTGGGTACAAATACAACCCTAGAAAGCTGTACCCCATATGTGCTACCCCACTATAGCCTACAAACATGCATCAGTTATAATAATCCGACACACCCCCATAGGCAAAGTGGGGGAGAACAAGGGGTCACAAGACCAGTCAAGCAAAGCAAAGCAAAGCAAGCTCAGGGTGGATCACAACGTCACCACACAGTCCGAGCACAAGAGCAGGGCCAGAGGCCAGTTCACATGCAGGAGTAAAGACATATATATAAAACTAGACAAGCAAGAGCAGGTATATATATATGTCACAGTACAAGTGAAGTCAAGAGGAGAGCAAGTGAGGCAAGACAGGCACAAGACCCAGCTGGGTGCAAAAGCGCTGATGGTCACAAGGCGCGAGTGCCTTGGTGAACACATTAGCAGTGTTGGCCTCAGAGGCCACGTACGCAAGTCGCAACTGACCACGCTGCTGCAGCTCACGAGCAAGGAAGTAGCGGAGAGCAATGTGCTTCGTTCTGTGCTCCAAGCGCTGCTCTCGACACAAGGCCAGCATGGCCTTGTTGTCTACGTACAGCACTGGAGGAGAACGAGGCGGCTCTCCAAGGTCAGTCAGCAGGTAGGTGAGCCAGCGAAGCTCCTGTGCAGCCATGGCCCCGGCGTAGATCTCAGCCTCACAACTGGAGCCGAGAACCGAAGACGAGCGAGTAGACCGCCACGAGACAGAGCCGGAACCAAGGCTGAAGGTGTAACCCTGTGACGACCGCTGCGTAGCCTGGTCGTCAGCCCAAGAAGCGTCCGCGTGGCCGGTAAGGACCACTGGACTCCGCCCTCCAAGCACTAGCCCCATGCCCGACGTGCTGCACAGGTAGCGCAATACCCTCTTCGCTGCAGCCATGTGCTCCGGTCTGTGTCTCCCAGGAGCAACATAGCGAGCAAGAATGCTCAGAGGGTATGCAAGGTCAGGTCGTGTGCAGGTCATCAGGTACATGAGGCAGCCAACAAGCTCTGCATACGGACCACTCGACTCTACGGACTCATCCGAAGGCACAGCTGAGAGTGAGTGGCGAGTAGGCAGAGGAGTGGCCTGAGGCGAGGAGTACGTGAAGCCGAAGCGCTGAAGGACCTGCTGCACCATGTGTGACTGAGTCAAGGTAATGGTGCGGCGTGCTCTGTCCCGAGTGATCTGCAAGCCAAGGTAGCTGCGCAGTTCACCCAGGTCTGTGTACGTGTGTCTCTTCAGCAGCTCGGACTTCACGTAGGCGAGTCCAGCAGTGTCTGCTGTGGCAAAGACCAAGTCGTCGACATACACGAGGATGTAGAACGGCGACAGGGAAGTGTCGGTGCGAAGAAACAGCGACGGGTCAGCAGTAGAAGGAGAAAACCCAAGAGCCGCAAGCGTAGTCCTCAGTGTGTCGTGCCACTCACGCGGTGCCTGGCGGAGACCGTAGACTGGCCGTCGGAGGCTCCACTGGGTGCCAGGAGGGAAAGTCCCAGTGAAGCCAGGTGGACGGCGAAGCCAGATCTCCTCGTGCAGGCTACCCTGCAAGAACGCAGTGCTGAAGTCGAGAGAGTGAAGCTCGTAGTCGCGCTGAGCGGCTATGTGCAGCAGCACCCGAAGAGTAGTCATCTTCGGGGTGGGAGAGAAGGTCTGAAAGTAGTCAACTCCCTGCCGCTGACTGAAGCCACGAGCAACGTACCGCGCCTTGAAGACAGGTGGAGAGCCCGGCGGCCGCTTCACCCTGAAGATCCACATGCCACTGACGATGTTCGCCCCAGGAGGGGGAACCGCGTCAACGTAGGTGCCTGTGGACTTCCAGGAAGCCATCTCTGCATCCATAGCTGCCTGCCACTGAGAGGAGTAGGGACCCTCTACGGCCTCCGCGTAAGAACGCGGAGTCGGGATGTCTAGTGCATCCGGGTCTCCCTCAGGGGCAAGCAGTACAGACGCGAGATGAGGTGAAGCAGCCGCTAGACACTGTAACTCCTCCTGCCTGTCCTCTAGGACGTCCGTGCCAAGAGCACACTCACCCCCGACGGACGGAGGACAGACAGACGCAGACTCAGCAACAAGACTAGCAGCGTAGTCGAGACGACAGCGAGCAGCAAAGTCGACGAGCTCAGCGACTAGAGCAGACGCAGCAGTGGACTCAAAAGAGGGGTCAGTGACGACAGTAGCAAGCAGACGCGTGACAGTAGGACTGGCAGCACGAAGAGAGTCCGACTCAGGGTCGGCAAGCACAGGAAGAGAGGAATCAGGAGGAGAAGGCAAAGGGGCACGCAGAGGAGCAGTGGACGGACGCAAAGACATCCGGTGCGTGCCAGGGACAGGAGGAGGACGCTGACGCGAACTGCGACCACTAGCGCGAGCAGCGCGAACAGGCGACGCGGGACGAGACGCAGGCTCACGACGCTCAGCAAGACCTCCAGTAGGACCAGTGTAAGGAGAGGGAGCAGGCAGTGGAGAGGAACGCTCCAGCAGGGACTGCGACTGGACAGGCGGTGGACCCTCTACTGGAGGAGAAAGACCAAGAACCTGTTGTAGGAGCGGAACGAAGTACGGTCGAGGCCGCGCGGCAGCTCCAGACTCAGCAGGGACAGTACCAGCACCCTCAGCGAGAGCACCAGCGCCACCCACACCTCTAGCGAAAGGACCAACAGCAGTAGACTCAACGGCGTCTACCCGGGACACACCTGAGGGGGCAGGAACCTGAGGGGGGAGGGGGTCTACTGGGGGGGGAACCGGCACAAGGAAGTCCGGGGGAGGGGGGAGGGAAGGAGTGCGGTAGGGGAAGAGACGGTAGAAGGGGACTGACTCGTCGAACGTGACGTCCTGGGAGGACAGAACACGACGAGAGGAGGGGTGGTAAAACTGCCACCCTGGGGCGTCAGTGGGGAAGCCAAGGAAGACACAGGGAGCAGCACGAGGGGACAGCTTGTCCGCAGACAAGTCGCGGACAAACGCCCGAGATTCCCAGACACGGAACACAGACGCATCGCCAACCTTCCCCGTCCACAGCAAGGCTGGGGACATCGCAGGCCGAGAGACCCAGGGGTGAAGGTTGAGCTGATGCGCCGCGTACCTCACCGCAAACGGCCACAGAAAATGGGGGGCAGCCGCATGCATCATGGACGTACGAGCGACATCCATGACCATGCCAATGCGGCGCTCAGCAATCCCATTTTGCTGTGGTGAGTCCGGAAGCGTGAAGGTCTGGCGGATCCCCCGTGCACGGCAGTAGTCTCGCAGAAGGCGAGAAGAGAACTCTCCGCCTCTGTCCGAGTGCAGACGCAGAACAGGAAAGTCCGAGCCGAAGCTCTTCCTGAGCTGGAGACGAGCCTCGCGGATCCAGTCGATCAGCACCTCAGTGACCGCACCCTTGCTGCGCAAGGGGAGGACTGTGGTGTAACGCGAGTAGTCGTCAACCACCAACAGGAAGTAGCGCTCCTGACCCTGCCCACGGACGGGGGCTGGGCCCCACAAATCCATGTGAAGCGTCTGCAGGGGAGCCTCTGTCGGGGGGAAGTGGGAGGAGTGAGGAGTAGCCCGGAGGCGACCCTCGACACAGGGGACACAGGAAGGTCCTGGCCCGGAGGGGAGAGGAGGGAGAGACTGGGGAAGACCAGAGACAAGGACACGGGAAGCCATGCTCCGAAGACGGGGCAAGGAGGGGTGGCCAAGACGGTGGTGCCACAGGAGAGTCTCGTGAGACAGGAGGCGACAAGAACAGGGGGCAGACTCAGGACCTGACCGGGACGCAGCAGCAAGCACCTGACCTGACGCAGCCACCTGACCAGACGCAGGGACAGGAGGAGACTCAACTGTCAGGGTGTAGAGACTCGACCCAGGCCGACGCGAGAACGTGGCCAGGTGGCGGCCTGTGCGTGCCTCCGTGCAGTGTGTCACCCGCTGACTCGCAGGAGTGAACTGGTGAACCCCCACATCCTGCAGGTCCGCTCCACTCACCAAGTTCGTAGAGAACGAGGGAAGGTACAGACCAGACAGGGTGCCCGAAGGGGCAGCCGGACACGGGAGGACAGTGGAGAAGTGAGACAGGACAGGACCCCCAGAGGGGTCAGCAAGGGAGACCGCAACCGGCCGGCCGAGCGGCGTAAGGGTAGTGCGGTCTCGAAAGAAGGAGCGAGAAGCCCCGGAGTCAAGTGTGAAAGTGAGGGAGGACGAGGACGACGCAGTACCTGAGAGCGCAGTCTCACCAGTACCTGAGAGCACAGACGCACTGGCACCTAGAACAGCAGCCTCACAAGCACCTAGCGCAGCAGCACCAATGCCCGGGTCGGGCTGGAAACACCGGTAACCCTCATTCTCCTCACTATAATCCACAGCATACATAGCAGCAAGGATAGCATCAAAATCAAGATCAAAGATCGCTACACCAGCCCTAAGAAGCTCATCCCAGCGAGGGATCTCACTAGCCCCAGGGAACTGCCGACGCCAAGCGTCCGTCAGGCGGCCAAAGCAGCGCTGGGTGGCGTGGGCACCCCCACACTGCTCACCCGCGCGGTCGCCGGAACGAAGAACGTAGGTGCAGGGACCAGTACCCCCACCCCTCTGACGCCCAGCGTACCACTCACGAAGCTGCTGAGGCGGAAGGATGTCCCGCGAGCGCTGCTGCTGCTGCCGCTGCGAGCGCTGGCCACCACCACCGCCACTACGCTGCTGGGTACCACCCCGACCAGCTCCACCTCCTCCACCACCACCGCCTCCTCCGCTGCCGCCTCCACCGCCTCCACCTCCGCCGCCTCCACCTCCGCCGCTGCCACCACCACCACCGCTGGCACCACCACCACCGTCTCCGCCGCTGCTGCCACCACCACCACCACCACCCCCGCCACTAGTCCCGCCACCACCCCCACTCCCTCCGCCGCCACCGCCGCCACCGCCACCGCCCCCTCCAGCTCCACCCGCGCCCTTGCCCCCCTTGCCCTTGCTAGAGCGACGTCTCCCACTAGGGGTAGACGCCGCGCCGACCGACTCAAGACCAAGCAGGTCGGCAGCAGCAGCAGAGGCAACAGAGGGCAGCAAGGGGGAAGGAGAGCACCCCTCAAAGATGGGGGTGCGAGGGTCACCACGAGAAGCACCTATAGCGACGATGCTCTTCTCCGCTGCGAGGAGGGCCTTCTCGAGGAGGTCGACGGTGAGGGTGGTGGGACAGACAGCGAGAAAGTGGTCCCTGACGACGCGAAGGGAGTCACGGAGGCGCGCAACTACGTAGTAGAGAGGGATGTACATGGGGGGGGGGGGTTCTTAGCGCAGAACTCAGCAGGAAGGGCGGCGCGGTAGCGAGTGTCACTAGTGCGGAGGTGCGTAATGAGGTCAGCAACAGTGGGAAAGGCAAAGAGGTCAGGAAAGAGGTAGGGAAGCATGAGACGGCTCAGTGCAGCAGTGGCAGGGGAGGAGTAGCGCGCAACTACAGCGTCGTACAAGGTCTGAGCACTTTTGTACTGGCTAAAGTGCGCACGCTCAGAGGTAGGGAGGTGGCGACGCACAGCAAGACGTGCAGCAGCATCGCGGGTGGCCCACTGAGAGCGGACAGAGGGATCAGCATCAGCAGCAGGAGCAGGAGAGGCGCCAGAGGTGAGGTCAAAGAGAGAAAGGTCGTCAGTCCTGTCGCACTGTAAGAACAGCTGCAGGTCGTCTAACCAGACCTCAAAATCAATGGCGCGACCCTCAGCGTCGAAAGCTAGGACACTAGGGGTAGCCATGGCGACGACAGCGACGCAGTGCAAGCAGTAGGGAAAGAGCTCGCAGTGACAGTGGGACTGTGCTCACCAGGCAGGGCAGGTCGTGCAGCTCTGCAAAAAGGCGGCTCAGCGACCGGGCAGCTCGGGTGCACAGCGGCTCGGCTCCCGGGCGGCTCGGTGGCTGGGCGGCTGGGGCGCAGGGCGGCTCGGCTCCCGGACGGCTCGGCGGCTGGGCGGCTCGGGTGCAGGGCGGCTCGGCTCCCGGGCGGCTCGGCGGCAGGGCGGCTCGGGTCCCGGGCGGCTCGGCGTTGGGCGGCTCGGCTCCCGGGCGGTTCGGCTGCTGGGGCGGCTCGGCCGGGAGATGCAGGGGCGGGGCCGTCAGGTGCAGCGGCGGGTCGACCGGTGCAGTGGCGGGCCGGCAGGTGCAGCGGCGGGCCGGCAGTTGCAGCGGCGGGCCGGCAGGTGCAGCGGCGGGCCCGCAGGTGCAGGCGGCGGGCCGTAGGGTGCAGCGGCGGGCCGGCAGGTGTAGCGGCGGGGCCGTCAGGTGATGCGGCGGGCCGCTGGGTGCACCGGCGGGCCGGGAGGTGCAGCGGCGGGCCGGTAGGAGCAGCGGCGGGCCGGCAGGAGCAGCGGCGGGGCCGTCAGGTGAGGCGGCGGGCCGGCAGGAGCAACGGCGGGCCGTAGGGTGCAGCGGCGGGGCTGTCAGAGGCGGCGGGCCGCTGGGTGCAGCGGCGGGCCGGCAGGTGCAGCGGCGGGCCGGCAGGAGCAGCGGCGGGGCCGTCAGGTGAGGCGGCGGGCCGGCAGGAGCAGCGGCGGGCCGTAGGGTGCAGCGGCGGGGCCGTCAGAGGCGACGGGCCGTAGGGTGCAGCGGCGGGCCGTAGGGTGCAGCGGCGGGGCCGTTAGAGGCGGCGGCGGGGCCGCGGCAGTAGAGGCGGGGCCGCGTCAGGGGAGGCGGCGGGGCCGCGTCAGGGGAGGCGGCGGGGCCACGTCAGGGGAGGCGGCGGGGCCGCGATCAAGAGAGGGAAAAGGCGACCCGAGGGGTCGCTAAAAAAAAAAAAGGCGCGCCTCGGGGCGCGCTTCGGTGGGCCCTAAAAAAAACGGTCCTATGGCAGGACCCGCTCTATACCATGTGAAGCAAGGAAAACAGGAATGAAATGACTAAGTCAGAGTTGGGTACAAATACAACCCTAGAAAGCTGTACCCCATATGTGCTACCCCACTATAGCCTACAAACATGCATCAGTTATAATAATCCGACAGAAAGGAATCTAATGCATATGTATATGGAAAATGGTGCATTGGCCAGGTCGGTCAGTATGGGAACTTAGAGTGCAAATGCCAGGGAGAACGGAAGCCCTCAGATCTCGCATAGTACACGGAATCTAGTGGTCTCACTCAAAGAGAAGGTAGGAAATAAATTCATCTAGTGAACGTAATGGTTTGAAAGGTAACTAACGCACATGTGTATAGAAAATGGTGCATCGGCCAGTCTGGCCGGCATTTCGCACTTATAGTGCAAGTAGGGCCAAGGAAAACAAAAACACTCATTTCTCAAAAAGTAAAGGGAATCTAGCGGTCTGACTTGATCAGAAGGTGGGAAATATATAAATCTAGTGAGCTAATAAGGTTCGGAAGGAATCTAATGCATATGTATATGGAAAGTGGTGCATTGGCCAGGTCGGTCAGTATGGGAACTTAGAGTGCAAATGCCTGGGAGAACGGAAGCGCTCAGATCTCGCATAGTACACGGAATCTAGTGGTCTCACTCAAATATAAGGTAGGAATTATATTCATCTAGTGAACGTAAGGGTTTGAAAGGTAACTAACGCACATGTGTAGAGAAAATGGTGCATCGGCCAGTCTGGCCGGCATTTCGCACTCATAGTGCAGGTGGGGCCAGGGAGAACGGAAACGCTCGTTTCTCAAAAAGTAGAGGGAATCTAACGGTCTCACTCAATCAGAAGGTGGGAAATATAAAAATCTAGTCAGCTAAAAAGGTTTGAAATGTATTCAACGCACATGTATAGAGAAAATGGTGCATTGGCCCGGTCGGTCAGTATCGGAACTTAAAATGCAAATGCCTGGGAGAACGGAACCGCTCAGATCTCACATAGTACACGGAATCAAGTGGTCTCACTCAAACAGAAAGTAGGAAATATATTCATCTAGTGAACGTAAGGGTTTGAAAGGTAACTAACGCACATGTGTAGAGAAAATTGTGCATCGGCCAGTCTGGCCGGCATTTCGCACTTATAGTGCAACTAGGGCCAAGGAGAACGGAAACGCTCATTTCTCAAAAAGTAGAGGGAATCTAGCGGTCTCACTCGATCAGAAGGTGGGAAATATATAAATCTAGTGAGCTAATAAGGTTCGAAAGGAATCTAATGCATATGTATATGGAAAATGGTGCATTGGCCAGGTCGGTCAGTATGGGAACTTAGAGTGCAAATGCCAGGGAGAACGGAAGCGCTCAGATCTCGCATAGTACACGGAATCTAGTGGTCTCACTCAAATAGAAGGTAGGAAATAAATTCATCTAGTGAACGTAAAGGTTTGAAAGGTAACTAACGCACATGTGAAGAGAAAATGGTGCATCGGCCAGGTCGGTCAGTATGGGAACTTAGAGTGCAAATGCCTGGGAGAACGGAACCGCTCAGATCTCGCATAATACACGGAATCTAGTGGTTTCACTCAAATATAAGATAGGAAATATATTCATCTAGTGAACGTAAGGGTTTGAAAGGTAACTAACGCACATGTGAAGAGAAAATGGTGCATCGGCCAGTCTGGCCGGCATTTCGCACTTATAGTGCAGGTGGGGCCAGGGAGAACAAAAACGCTCGTTTCTCAAAAAGTGGAGGGAATCTAACGGTCTCACTCGATCAGAAGGTGGGAAATATATAAATCTAGTCAGCTAAAATGGTTTGAAATGTATTCAACGCACATGTATGAAGAAAATGGTGCATTGGCCAGGTCGGTCAGTATCGGAACTTAAAATGCAAATGCCAGGGAGAACGGAAGCGCTCAGATCTCGCATAGTATACGGAATCAAGTGGTCTCACTCAAATAGAAAGTAGGAAATATATTCATCTAGTGAACGTAAGGGTTTGAAAGGTAACTAACACACATGTGTAGAGAAAATTGTGCATCGGCCAGTCTGGCCGGCATTTCGCACTTATAGTGCAAGTAGGGCCAAGGAGAACGGAAACGCTCATTTCTCATAAAGTAGAGGGAATCTAGCGGTCTCACTCAATCAGAAGGTGGGAAATATATAAATCTAGTGAGCTAATAAGGTTCGAAAGGAATCTAATGCATATGTATATGGAAAATGGTGCATAGGCCAGGTCGGTCAGTATGGGAACTTGGAGTGCAAATGCCAGGGAGAACGGAAGCGCTCAGATCTCGCATAGTACACGAAATCTAGTGGTCTCACTCAAATAGAAGGTATGAAATAAATTCATCTAGTGAACGTAAGGGTTTGAAAGGTAACTAACGCACATGTGTAGAGAAAATGGTGCATCGGCCAATCTAGCCGGCATTTCGCACTTGTAGTGCAAGTAGGGCCAAGGAGAACGGAAACGCTCATTTCTCGAAAAGAAGAGGGAATCTAGCGGTCTCACTCGATCACAAGGTGGGAAATATATAAATCTAGTGAGCTAATAAGGTTCGAAAGGAATCTAATGCATATGTATATGGAAAATGGTGCATTGGCCAGGTCGGTCAGTATGGGAACTTAGAGTGCAAATGCCAGGGAGAACGGAAGCGCTCAGATCTCGCATAGTATACGGAATCTAGTGGTCTCACTCAAATAGAAGGTAGGAAATAAATTCATCTAGTGAACGTAAGGGTTTGAAAGGTAACTAACGCACATGTGTAGAGAAAATGGTGCATCGGCCAGTCTGGCCGGCATTTCGCACTTAAAGTGCAAGAAGGGCCAAGGAAAACAAAAACACTCATTTCTCAAAAAGTAAAGGGAATCTAGCGGTCTGACTTGATCAGAAGGTGGGAAATATATAAATCTAGTGAGCTAATAAGGTTCGGAAGGAATCTAATGCATATGTATATGGAAAGTGGTGCATTGGCCAGGTCGGTCAGTATGGGAACTTAGAGTGCAAATGCCTGGGAGAACGGAACCGCTCAGATCTCGCATAATACACGGAATCTAGTGGTCTCACTCAAATATAAGGTAGGAAATATATTCATCTAGTGAACGTAAGGGTTTGAAAGGTAACTAACGCACATGTGTAGAGAAAATGGCGCATCGGCCAGTCTGGCCGGCATTTCGCACTCATAGTGCAGGTGGGGCCAGGGAGAACGGAAACGCTCGTTTCTCAAAAAGTAGAGGGAATCTAACGGTCTCACTCAATCAGAAGGTGGGAAATATATAAATCTAGTCAGCTAAAAAGGTTTGAAATGTATTCAACGCACATGTATAGAGAAAATGGTGCATTAGCCAGGTCGGTCAGTATGGGAACTTAGAGTGCAAATGCCAGGGAGAACGGAAGCGCTCAGATCTCGCATAGTATACGGAATCTAGTGGTCTCACTCAAATAGAAGGTAGGAAATATATTCATCTAGTGAACGTAAGGGTTTGAAAGGTAACTAACGCACATGTGTAGAGAAAATTGTGCATCGGCCAGTCTGGCCGGCATTTCGCACTTATAGTGCAACTAGGGCCAAGGAGAACGGAAACGCTCATTTCTTGAAAAGTAGAGGGAATCTAGCGGTCTCACTTGATCAGAAGGTGGGAAATATATAAATCTAGTAAGCTAATAAGGTTTGAAAGGAATCTAATGCATATGTATATGGAAAAAGGTGCATTGGCCAGGTCGGTCAGTATGGGAACTTAGAGTGCAAATGCCAGGGAGAACGGAAGCGCTCAGATCTCGCATAGTACACGGAATCTAGTGGTCTCACTCAAATAGAAGGTAGGAAATAAATTCATCTAGTGAACGTAAGGGTTTGAAAGGTAACTAACACACATGTGTAGAGAAAATGGTGCATCGGCCAGTCTGGCCGGCATTTCGCACTTTTAGTGCAACTAGGGCCAAGGAGTACGGAAACGCTCTTTTCTCAAAAAGTAGAGGGAATCCAGCGGTCTCACTCGATCAGAAGGTGGGAAATATATAATTACAGTGAGCTAATAAGGTTCGAAAGGAATCTAATGCATATGTATATGGAAAATGGTGCAATGGCCAGGTCAGTCAGTATGGGAACTTAGAGTGCAAATGCCAGGGAGAACGGAAGGGCTCAGATCTCGCATAGTACACGGAATCTAGTGGTCTCACTCAAATAGAATGTAGGAAATAAATTCATCTAGTGAACGTAAGGGTTTGAAAGGTAACTAACGCACATGTGTAGAGAAAATGGTGCATCGGCCAGTCTGGCCGTCATTTCGCACTTTTAGTGCAACTAGGGCCAAGGAGAACGGAAACGCTTATTTCTCAAAACGTAAAGGGAATCTAGCGGTCTCACTCGATCAGAAGGTGGGAAATATGTAAATCTAGTGAGCTAATAATGTTCGGAAGGAATCTAATGCATATGTATATGGAAAGTGGTGCATTGGCCAGGTCGGTCAGTATGGGAACTTAGAGTGCAAATGCCTGGGAGAACGGAACCGCTCAGATCTCGCATAATACACGGAATCTAGTGGTCTCACTCAAATATAAGGTAGGAAATATATTCATCTAGTGAACGTAAGGGTTTGAAAGGTAACTAACGTACATGTGTAGAGAAAATGGTGCATCGGCCAGTCTGGCCGGCATTTCGCACTCATAGTGCAGGTGGGTGTCAAACATTATATATGTTATGCTTGTGTAGGCTACAGTGGGTTAGCCTATAGGGGGTACACAATTCTAGGGTTTACTACTTGTACTCTTTTCACTTCTAGTTCATCCATTCCTGTTCGCTTATTCTCACATGGTATAGAGCGGGTCCTTCTACGGACCGTTTTTTGGGCCCACCGAAGCGCCCCCCGAGGCGCGATTTTTTTTTAGCGACCCCTCGGGTCGCCATTTCCCCTGCGGCCCCGCCGCCTTCACTGACGCGGCCCTGCCGCCCTCTCTGACGGGGCCCCGCCGCCGGCCCTTACGCGGCCCCGTCGCCGGCTCTCACGCGGCCCCGCAGCAGGCTCTGTCGCGGCCCCGCCCCGGCCTTTACGCGGCCCCGCCGCCTGCTCTCACGCGGCCCCGCCCCGGCTCCTTCGCGGCCCCGCCGCCTGCTCTCGCGCGGCCCCGCCCCGGCTTCTACGCGGCCCCGCCCCGGCTTTCACGCGGCCCCGCCGACGGCTTTGTCGCGGCCCCGCCCAGGCCCTTACGCGGCCCCGCCGCCTGCTCTCACGCGGCCCGGCCCCGGCTCCTTCGCGGCCCCGCCGCCTGCTTTCGCGCGGCCCCGCCCCGGCTTCTACGCGGCCCCGCCCCGGCTTTCACGCGGCCCCGCCGACGGCTCTGTCGCGGCCCCGCCCAGGCCCTTACGTGGCCCCGCCGCCTGCCCCCGTCGCGGCCCGGTCACCTCCTGACGGCCCCGCCGTCCCTTCGTGACGGCCCCGCCGTCCCTTCGAGAGGCCAGCAGAGGGGTGGCAGGTGTGTGGCCTCCCCTGCTTCTCCTCCTCCTTCATCTCCCACGGCAGCAGCCGAGCCGCTCACCTGCAGCAGCCGAGCCGCCCCACCGCCGAGCCGCCCTGCACCCGAGCCGCCCAGCAGCCGAGCCGCCCTGCCACCGAGCCGCCGGGTCGCTGAGCTGCTGAGCTGCAGTTGCTGCCGAGCCGCCCTGCCGCCGAGCCGCCGAGTCACCGAGCTGCTGAGCTGCAGTTGCTGCCGAGCCGCCTTGTCGCCGAGCCGCCCGAGTCGCCCGAGCCGCCGAGCCGCCGAGCTGCCGAGCCGCTGAGTCGCCGAGCCTACTCTTCCCACCACTGGTGAGCTCTTGCCCTGCTAGCACGCTGCGCGTTGCCTGCTTGCCTGCCTGCCTGCTGCTAGTCCTGCTCCTGCTTCTACTTGCGGAGCCAAATGCAGCCCCAGCGACGCCGGCGTGAGTCCCTCACGCCCCAGCAGCTGCGTGAGTGGTACGCTGGTTGGGGCTGTAGGGGTGGCGACGCTACTCCTCCTACCACTCCTGCTGCTTCTACTCGTGGTGGCGGCCAGATGCAGCTCTCGCGACCCTCTCGCGTGTCTCTCACGCCTCGCCAGCTTCGTGAGTGGTACGCTCAGAGTGGAGGGTCTCTCAGTGCTGTTCGCTGCTCTTACGTGATTCGCACTGGTACTCGGACTGGTCAGCCTTGTGGGACACGTAGTCATACACCGTCCCGCTGCTTCGCCCGTCTGAGCGACGCCTGGCGTACCGTGTTTGGCGACGAGGCTGAGCTTCCCGACTGGGTGGAGTTGCTTAGGCAGAGGGTAGATAGATATGCTCTTGACTATGATGCTATTCTCACTGCCATGTATGCATTGCCTACTAGTGCTGACCGTGCCGGTCACCTGTGCGTCCCGCCTGACCCAGGTATAGGACCTGCTGCTCTAGCTACTGGTGAGGCTGCTGCTCTGGGTGCTAGTGAGTCTCCGGCTCCAGGTACAGGTGCGGCTGCTCCTCTAGGTGCTAGTGAGTCTGCTTCCTCAGGTGCGGGTGAGGCTGCGCTCTCAGGTACCGCGTTGGCTTCGGCCTCCCTCACCTTTACACTTGACTCTGGGGCTTCTCGCTCCTTCTTTCAGGACCGCACCACACTCACGCCGCTTGGTCGGCCGGTTGCAGTCTCCCTGGCTGACCCCTCTGGGGGTCCTGTCCTCGCTCACTTCTCCACTGTCCTCCCGTGTCCGGCTGCCCCCTCGGGCACCCTGTCTGGCCTGTACCTCCCCTCGTTCTCGACGAACTTGGTGAGTGGTGCAGACCTACAGGATGCGGGGGTTCACCAGTTCACTCCTGCGAGTCAGCGGGTGACCCACTGCACGGACGCACGCACAGGCCGGCACCTGGCCACGTTCTCGCGTCGGCCGGGGTCGAGCCTCTACACCCTGACCACTGAGTCTCCTCCTGTCCCCGCGTCCGGTCAGGTAGCAGCGTCGGGTCAGGTGTTTGCTGCTGCGTCCAGGTCTGGTCCTGAGTCTGCCCCCTGTTCGTGTCGCCTCCTGTCTCACGAGACTCTTCTGTGGCACCACCGTCTAGGCCACCCCTCCTTGCCCCGTCTTCGGGGCATGGCTTCCCGTGTCCTTGTCTCTGGTCTTCCCCAGTCTCTCCCTCCCCTTCCTTCGGGACCAGGACCTTCCTGTGTCCCCTGTGTCGAGGGGCGCCTCAGGGCTGCTCCTCACTCCTCCCAGTTTCCCCCGACAGAGGCTCCCCTGCAGACGCTTCACATGGACGTGTGGGGCCCGGCCCCCGTCCGTGGGCAGGGTCACGAGCGCTACTTCCTGTTGGTGGTTGACGACTACTCGCGTTACACCTCAGTCTTCCCCTTGCGCAGCAAGGGTGCTGTCACTGAGGTGCTGATCGACTGGATCCGCGAGGCTCGTCTCCAGCTCAGGAGGAGCTTCGGCTCGGACTTTCCTGTTCTGCGTCTGCACTCTGACCGAGGTGGGGAGTTCTCCTCTCGCCTTCTGCGAGACTACTGTCGTGCACAGGGGATCCGCCAGACCTTTACGCTTCCGGACTCTCCACAGCAAAATGGGATTGCTGAGCGCCGCATTGGCATGGTCATGGATGTCGCTCGTACGTCCATGATGCATGCGGCTGCCCCCCATTTTCTGTGGCCGTTTGCGGTTCGGTACGCGGCGCATCAGCTCAACCTTCACCCCAGGGTCTCTCGGCCCGCGATGTCCCCAGTGTTACTGTGGACGGGGAAGGTCGGCGATGCGTCTGCGTTCCATGTCTGGGGATCTCGGGCGTTTGTCCGCGACTTGTCTGCGGACAAGCTGTCCCCTCGTGCTGCTCCCTGTGTCTTCCTTGGCTTCCCCCCTGACGCTCCAGGGTGGCAGTTCTACCACCCCTCCTCTCGTCGTGTTCTGTCTTCCCAGGACGTCACGTTCGACGAGTCAGTCCCCTTCTACCGCCTCTTCCCCTACCGTACTCCTTCCCTTCCCCCCCCACCGGACTTCCTGGTACCAGTTCCCCCCCCGGTAGACCCCCTCCGCCCTCACGTTCCTGCCCCTTCGGGTGTGTCCCAGGTAGACACGGTCGAGCCAGTCGAGGTTGCTGCTGAGTCTGGTCCTGCTGCGGGTGCTGAGCCTGGGGGTGCTGCTGCTGGGGGTGCTGAGCCTGTGGGTCCTGAGCCTGGGGGTGCGAGGCCGGGGGGTGCTGAGTCTGGGGGTGCTGAGCCGGGGGGTGCTGAGCCGGAGGGTGCTACGTCAGGAGCTGCTGAGCCTGGGGGTGCTGGGCCTGGAGGTGCGGAGCCTGCGCCTGCTGGACCTGGGGGCTCTCCGGTTCTTCCGTCTCGGCGGGAGCCGCTCTCTCCACAGGAGCTGCGCGAGTGGTTTGCTCGCCGCTGGAGGCGTGCTGCTGGAGCTGGAGCTTCTTCGCCTGCTGAGGGTGCTGCCGGTCCCGGAGCTGCTGGGCCTGCGGGTCCTACTGGAGCTGGAGCTACTGAGTCTGGGGGTGCTGAGTCTGGAGCTGCTGAGCTTGGAGGTGCTGAGTCTGGAGCGGCTGTGCCTGGGGGTGCTGAGTCTGGAGCTGCTGAGCCTGGGGTTTCTCCTGCTGCTGCGTCTCGCCGGGAGCCCTTCTCTCCACAGGAGCTGCGTGACTGGTTTGCTCGCCGCTGGAGGAGTGCTGCTGGAGCTAGAGCTTCGTCGACCGTCGAGGGTGCTGGTGCTGCCGGTCCCGGAGCTGCTGGGCCTGCGGGTCCTACTGGAGCTGGAGCTGCTGAGGGTGTTGGTGCTGAGACTACTGCTGTCTGTCCTGGCGGTGGTTCTGCTGCTGGTGCTGCTGGAGGTCCTGCCGCTGGAGGTGTTGGTGGCGCTGGTGCTGTCGCTGAGGGTGCTGGTGCTGTCCCTGCTGAGTCTGGAGCTGCCGCGCGGCCTCGGCCGTACTTCGTTCCGCTCCTACAGCAGGTTCTTGGTCTTTCTCCTTCGGTAGAGTGTCCACAGCCTGTCCAGTCGCAGTCACTGTTGGAGCCTTCCTCTCCTCTGCCTGCTCCCTCTCCTTACACTGGTCCTACTGGAGGTCTTGCTGAGCGTCGTGAGCCTGCGTCTCGTCCCGCGTCGCCTGTTCGTGCTGCTCGCGCTAGTGGTCGCGGTTCGCGTCAGCGTCCTCCTCCTGTCCCTGGCACGCACCGGATGTCTCTGCGTCCGTCCACTGCTCCTCTGCGTGCCCCTTTGCCTTCTCCTCCTGAGTCCTCTCTTCCTGCGCTTGCCGACCCTGAGTCGGACTCTCTTCGCGCTGCCAGTCCTACTGTCACGCGTCTGCTTGCTACTGTCGTCACTGACCCCTCTTTTGAGTCCACTGCTGCGTCTGCTCTAGTCGCTGAGCTCGTTGACTTTGCTGCTCGCTGTCGTCTCGACTACGCTGCTGGTCTTGTTGCTGAGTCTGCGTCTGTCTGTCCTCCGTCCGTTGGGGGTGAGTGTGCTCTTGGCACGGACGTCCTAGAGGACAGACAGGAGGAGTTACAGTGTCTAGCGGCTGCTTCACCTCATCTCGCGTCTGTACTGCTTGCCCCTGAGGGAGACCCGGATGCACTAGACATCCCGACTCCGCGTTCTTACGCGGAGGCCGTAGAGGGTCCCTACTCCTCTCAGTGGCAGGCAGCTATGGATGCAGAGATGGCTTCCTGGAAGTCCACAGGCACCTACGTTGACGCGGTTCCCCCTCCTGGGGCGAACATCGTCAGTGGCATGTGGATCTTCCGGGTGAAGCGGCCGCCGGGCTCTCCACCTGTCTTCAAGGCGCGGTACGTTGCTCGTGGCTTCAGTCAGCGGCAGGGAGTTGACTACTTTCAGACCTTCTCTCCCACCCCGAAGATGACCACTCTTCGGGTGCTGCTGCACATAGCCGCTCAGCGCGACTACGAGCTTCACTCTCTCGACTTCAGCACTGCGTTCCTGCAGGGTAGCCTGCACGAGGAGATCTGGCTGCGCCGTCCACCTGGCTTCACTGGGAATTTCCCTCCTGGCACCCAGTGGAGCCTCCGACGGCCAGTCTACGGTCTCCGCCAGGCACCGCGTGAGTGGCACGACACACTGAGGACTACGCTTGCGGCTCTTGGGTTTGCTCCTTCTACTGCTGACCCGTCGCTGTTTCTGCGCACCGACACTTCACTACCGCCGTTCTACATCCTCGTGTACGTCGACGACTTGGTCTTTGCCACAGCGGACACTGCTGGACTCGCCTACGTGAAGTCCGAACTGCTGAAGAGACACACGTGCACAGACCTGGGTGAACTGCGCAGCTACCTTGGCTTGCAGATCACTCGGGACAGAGCACGCCGCACCATTACCTTGACTCAGTCACACATGGTGCAGCAGGTCCTTCAGCGCTTCGGCTTCACGTACTCCTCGCCTCAGGCCACTCCTCTGCCTACTCGCCACTCACTCTCAGCTCTGCCTTCGGATGAGTCCGTAGAGTCGAGTGGTCCGTATGCAGAGCTTGTTGGCTGCCTCATGTACCTGATGACCTGCACACGACCTGACCTTGCATACCCTCTGAGCATTCTTGCACGCTATGTTGCTCTTGGGAGACACAGACCAGAGCACATGGCTGCAGCGAAGAGGGTATTGCGCTACCTGTGCGGTACGTCGGGCATGGGGCTTGTGCTTGGAGGGCGGAGTCCAGTGGTCCTTACCGGCCACGCGGACGCTTCTTGGGCTGACGACCAGGCTACGCAGCGGTCGTCACAGGGTTACACCTTCAGCCTTGGTTCCGGCTCTGTCTCGTGGCGGTCTACTCGCTCGTCTTCGGTTCTCAGCTCCAGTTGTGAGGCTGAGATCTACGCCGGGGCCATGGCTGCACAGGAGCTTCGCTGGCTCACCTACCTGCTAACTGACCTTGGAGAGCCGCCTCGTTCTCCTCCAGTGCTGTACGTAGACAACAAGGCCATGCTGGCCTTGTGTCGAGAGCAGCGCTTGGAGCACAGAACGAAGCACATTGCTCTCCGCTACTTCCTTGCTCGTGAGCTGCAGCAGCGTGGTCAGTTGCGACTTGCGTACGTGGCCTCTGAGGCCAACACTGCTGATGTGTTCACCAAGGCACTTGCGCCTTGTGATCATCAGCGCTTTTGCACCCAGCTGGGTCTTGTGTCTGTCTTGCCTCACTTGCTCTCCTCTTGACTTTACTTGTACTATGACATATATATATACCTGCTCTTGCTTGTGTAGTTTTATATATATGTCTGTACTCCTGCATGTGAACTGGCCTCTGGCCCTGCTCTTGTGCTCAGACTGTGTGGTGACTTTGTGATCCACCCTGAGCTTGCTTTGCTTTGCTTGACTGGTCTTGTGACCCCTTGTTCTCCCCCACTTTGCCTATGGGGGTGTGTCAAACATTATATATGTTATGCTTGTGTAGGCTACAGTGGGTTAGCCTATAGGGGGTACACAATTCTAGGGTTTACTACTTGTACTCTTTTCACTTCTAGTTCATCCATTCCTGTTCGCTTATTCTCACAGTGGGGCCAGGGAGAACGGAAACGCTCGTTTCTCAAAAAGTAGAGGGAATCTAACGGTCTCACTCGATCAGAAAGTGGGAAATATATAAATCTAGTCAGCTAAATAGGTTTGAAATGTATTCAACGCACACGTATAGAGAAAATGGTGCATTGGCCAGGTCGGTCAGTATCGGAACTTAAAATGCAAATGCCACGGAAAACGGAAGCGCTCTAATCTCGCAGAGTACACGGAATCAAGTGGTCTCACTCTAGTAGAAGTCGGAAATATATTCATCTAATGAACGTAAGGGTTTGAAAGGTAACTAACGCACATGTGTAGAGAAAATGGTGCATCGGCCAGTCTGGCCGGCATTTCGCACTTATAGTGCAAGTAGGGCCAAGGAGAACGGAAACGCTCATTTCTCAGAAAGTAGAGGGAATCTAGCAGTCTCACTCGATCAGAAGGTGGGAAATATATAAATCTAGTGAGCTAAAAAGGTTGGAAAGGAATCTAATGCATATGTATATGGAAAGTGGTGCATTGGCCAGGTCGGTCAGTATGGCAACTTAGAGTGCAAATGCCTGGGAGAACAGAACCGCTCAGATCTCGCATAATACACGAAATCTAGTGGTCTCACTCAAATATAAGGTAGGAAATATATTCATCTTGTGAACGTAAGGGTTTGAAAGGTAACTAACGCACATGTGTAGAGAAAATGGTGCATCGGCCAGTCTGGCCGGCATTTCGCACTCATAGTGCAAGTGGGGCCAGGGAGAATGGAAACGCTCGTTTCTCAAAAAGAAGAGGGAATCTAACGGTCTCGCTTGATCAGAAGGTGGAAAATATATAAATCTAGTTAGCTAAAAAGGTTTGAAATGTATTTAACGCACATGTATAAAGAAAATGGTGCATTGACCAGTGCGGTCAGTATCGGAACTTAAAATGCAAATGCCAGGGAGAACGGAAGCGCTCAGAACTTGCATAGTACACGGAATCAAGTGGTCTCACTCAAATAGAAGGTAGGAAATATATTCATCTAGTGAACGTAAGGGTTTGAAAGGTAACTAACGCACATGTGTAGAGAAAAATGTGCATCGGCCAGTCTGGCCGGCATTTCGCACTTATAGTGCAAGTAGGGCCATGGAGAACGGAAACGCCCATTTCTCAAAAAGTAAAGGGAATCTAGCGGTCTCACTCGATCAGAAGGTGGGAAATATATATATCTAGTGAGCTAAAAAGGTTGGAAAGGAATCTAATGCATATGTATATGCAAAATGGTGCATTGGTCACGTCAGTCAGTATGGGAACTTAGAGTGCAAATTCCTAGGAGAACGAAAGCGCTCATATCTCGCATAGTATACGGAATCTAGTGGTCTCACTCAAATAAAAGGTAGGAAATATAAAAATCAATTGAACGTAAGGGTCTGAAAGTTAACTAACGCACATGTGTAGAGAAAATGGTGCATCGGCCAGTCTGGCCGGCATTTTGCACTTATAGTGCAAGTGGGGCCAGGGAGAACCGAAATGCTCGTTTCTCAAAAAGTAGAGGGAATCTAGCGGTCTCACTCGATCAGAAGGTGGGAAATATATAAATCTAGTGAGCTAATAAGGTTCAAAAGGAATCTAATGCATATGTACATGGAAAATGGTGCATTGGCCATGTCGGTCAGTATCGGAACAAAAAATGCAAATGCTAGGGAGAACGGAAGCGCTCTGTTCTCGCATAGTACACGGAATCAAGTGGTCTCACTCAAATAGAAAGTAGGAAATATATTCATCTAGTGAACGTAAGGGTTTGAAAGGTAACTAACGCACATGTGTAGAGAAAATGGTGCATCGGCCAGTCTGGCCGGCATTTCGCACTTATAGTGCAAGTAGGGCCAAGGAGAACGAAAACGCTCATTTCTCAATAAATAAAGGGAATCTAGCGGTCTCACTCGATCAAAAGGTGGGAAATTTATAAATCTAGTGAGCTTATAATGTTTGAAAGGTATCTAATGCACATGTATATGGAAAATGGTGCATTGGCAAGGTCGTTCAGTATGGGAACTTAAAGTGCAAATGCCTCGGAGAACAGAACCGCTCAGATCTCGCATAGTACGCAGAATCTAGTGGTCTCACTCAAATATAAGGTAGGAAATATATTATTGAGTGAACGTAAGGGTTTGAAAGGAAACTAACGCACATGTGTAGAGAAAATGGTGCATCGGCCAGTCTGGCCGGCATTTCGTACTTATAGTGCAAGTAGGGCCAAGGAGAACGGAAACGCTCATTTCTCAAAAAGTAGAGGGAATCTAGCGGTCTCACTCGATCAAAAGGTGGAAAATATATAAATCTAGTGAGCTAATAAGGTTTGGAAGGAATCTAATGCATATATATATGGAAAGTGGTGCATTGGCCAGGTCGGTCAGTATGGGAACTTAGAGTGCAAATATCTGGGAGAACGGAACCGCTCAGATCTCGCATAATACACGGAATCTCGTGGTCTCACTCAAATATAAGGTAGGAAATATATTCATCTAGTGAACATAAGGGTTTGAAAGGTAACTAACGCACATGTGAAGAGAAAATGGTGCATCGGCCAGTCTGGCCGGCATTTCGCACTCATAGTGCAGGTGGGGCCAGGGAGAACGGAAACGCTCGTTTCTCAAAAAGTAGAGGGAATCTAACGGTCTCACTCGATCAGAAGGTGGGAAATATATAAATCTAGTCAGCTAAAAATGTTTGAAATGTATTCAACGCACATGTATAGAGAAAATGGTGCATTGGCCAGGTCGGTCAGTATCGGAACTTAAAATGCAAATGCCAGGGAGAACGGAAGCGCTCAGATCTCGCATAGTACACGGAATCAAGTGGTCTCACTCAAATAGAAAGTAGGAAATATATACATCTAGTGAACGTAAGGGTTTGAAAGGTAACTAACGCACATGTGTAGAGAAAATTGTGCATCGGCCAGTCTGGCCGGCATTTTGCACTTATGGTGCAAGTAGGGCCAAGGAGAACGGAAACACTCATTTCTCAAAAGGTAAAGGGAATCTAGCGGTCTCGCTCGATCAAAAGGTGGGAAATATGTAAATCTAGAGAGCTAATAAGTTTCGAAAGGAATCTAATGCATATGTATATGGAACATGGTGCATTGGCCAGGTCGGTCAGTATGGGAACTTAGATTGCAAATGCCAGGGAGAACGGAAGTGCTCAAATCTTGCATAGTACACGGAATCTAGTGGTCTCACTCAAATATAAAGTAGGAAATAAATTCATCTAGAGAACGTAAGGATTTGAAAGGTAACTAACGCACATGTGTAGAGAAAATGGTGCATCGGCCAGTCTGGCCGGCATTTCGCACTTATAGTGCAAGTAGGGCCAAGGAGAACGGAAACGCTCATTTCTCAAAAAGTAAAGGGAATCTAGCGGTCTCACTCGATCAGAAGGTGGGAAATATGTAAATCTAGTGAGCTAATAAGGTTCGGAAGGAATCTAATGCATATGTATATGGAAAGTGGTGCATTGGCCAGGTCGGTCAGTATGGGAACTTAGAGTGCAAATGCCTGGGAGAACGGAACCGCTCAGATCTCGCATAATACACGGAATCTAGTGGTCTAACTCGATCAGAAGGTGGGAAATATATAAATCTAGTGGGCTAATAAGGTTCGGAAGGAATCTAATGCACATGTACATGGAAAATGGTGCATAGGCCAGGTCGGTCAGTATGGGAACTTAGACTGCAAATGCCTGGGAGAACGGAAGCGCTCAGATCTCGCATAATACACGGAATCTAGTGGTTTCACTCAAATAGAAGGTAGGAAATAAATTCATCTAGTGAACGTAAGGGTTTGAAAGGTAACTAACGCACATGTGTAGAGAAAATGGTGCATCGGCCAGTCTGGCCGGCATTTCGCACTTATAGTGCAAGCAGGGCCAAGGAGAACGGAAACGCTCATTTCTCAAAAAGTAAAGGGAATCTAGCGGTCTCACTCGATCAAAAGGTGGGAAATATATAAATCTAGTGAGCTAATAAGGTTCGAAAGGAATCTAATGCATATGTATATGGAAGGTGGTGCATTGGCCAGGTCGGTCAGTATGGGAACTTAGAGTGCAAATGCCAGGGAGAACGGAAGCGCTCAGATCTTGCACAGTACACGGAATCTAGTGGTCTCACTCAAATAGAAAGTAGGAAATATATTCATCTAGTGAACGTAAGGGTTTGAAAGGTAACTAACGCACATGTGTAGAGAAAATGGTGCATCGGCCAGTCTGGCCGGCATTTCGCACTCATAGTGCAGGTGGGGCCAGGGAGAACGGAAACGCTCGTTTCTCAAAAAGTAGAGGGAATCTAACGGTCTCACTCGATCAGAAGGTGGGAAATATATACATCCCGTGTCTCTAAAAAGGTTTGAATGTATTCAACGCACATGTATAGAGAAAATGGTGTATTGGCCAGGTCGGTCGGTATCAGAACTTAAAATGCAAATGCCAGGGAGAACGGAAGCGCTCAGATCTCGCATAGTACACGGAATCAAGTGGTCTCACTCAAATAGAAAGTAGGAAATATATTCATCTAGTGAACGTAAGGGTTTGAAAGGTAACTAACGCACATGTGTAGAGAAAATTGTGCATCGGCCAGTCTGGCCGGCATTTCGCACTTATAGTGCAACTAGGGCCAAGGAGAACGGAAACGCTCA